GTTGACAAGTTAAATAGGTGCTTTAATTATAGTACAGTAGTTTATATGTAGCGTAGTTTTGAATGGATTCCCCGCGCGTTTGCAATGGGTTCACTGCTAATATGGGATGATTCCAACAGGATTGTAAGTACTAGTACCGTGCTCCGAGTCGCCGTGTGCGCCAACCGGAACCTACTGCACTTATTACCTGCTGCAGTTCCAAGCTACATGTACAGGCATACCAGAACTCAGACATGGTGTACGGCCTTCCTTAGCTCGAGATTGGCGGAGGCAAGCGGCTCTGAGCGGCGTTCGACTCCCTCTGTCTGGATGCGGACTTCGATAACTTTTTTTCGACCTACCTAGGCCTTTTTCAAATAGAATACACCGACATAGCTCCCAAATACACCCAAGAAATCAGACATGGGTAAGACTCAGGATAAATTAATAGCCCAGCTATGTCCCCTTTCGGAACGTGCCGAGTTGTAACACCGGCCTTTCAGGGTGTACTGTCATGGTGTGCGGCACACCGCCTCTATCATTGGACTGCCGTTTCGATCGTCCAGAGGCAGCCCGGGGTTCGACTCCCCGTGTCTGAGTGACCACGTCGATCATACTTTTTTTTTATCATGATCACCTCCAATCCACAAGTCGGGTGGGTTGTACGTATCAAGTACCGTGCTCGCGCTGTCCGGGACCCCCAATCTACTCTCTCACCCGGCGCCTGGAGGAACCCATGGCCAGCAGCATGAGAATCCAGATTCAGGGTGTGGAGTCACTGGAGTGGGGATAACCTCGCAGGGCCGGCCCTACGTTGATTTATTTTCGGGTTGTATACATACTTTCCAGCATTTTCAGCGCAGCCTGCTCGCCTACCTGCGTCTAGATCTTCCCTTACAAACCCACCGGTACCGTCCAGTCACCCGGAACGCAGATCCCTGTTCCGCCTCCGCCTTCCCTCCACCCCCGTCGGAATCAAGTCGGAACTCCTCACGTCGATCGAACAACGAAGCGTCGCGTCCTGTCGCGTCGCGTCTCGCCCGACAGACAGGTTGATCGACAATCGACATGTACATCCACCGCCCATCTCGTTATACCTGGTGGGAATAGCGGTGCTATTCAACCTTCTCGTCGACCCTTGGCACGCCGGTGCACACTTCTACGGCCTCACCTTCGCCTCACCTCGCCTTGCCTGAAAGATTTAGGGGCCATCTACATATACATCATACTTAGGGGCGAATCTGACGAATGCCCAAATAGGAGTCCGCCTGTCGCGTATGATAAGTATGTCATCATCACACACGTACTTGGCGTGCATCTGTCCCCCGCTCCACATGGCACATCTGATGATCCTGGCATTCTTAGTTTACGTGTCCAAGGGGCGCAACCGGCGAAGTTGGCGCCGTATGCTCGTGTTTGGCACGACGCTGACCTTGCCGCCCACCGATACCGCGGAATTTTGTATGCGTGTCACGCCGGCTCCTAGGACTGAATGCTCCAGCCTGCAGTGAACTATTATAATTCAGTCCTAGGAGCCGGCTAGCACAGAACTCCACGACAAACCGCACTGAATGCACCGATCAGATGAATACGATGCAGTCGAACACGAGCATAGAAATCGGTAACCAGCGCATTGCCGGTTGCCCTTCGCTCAATGTGCAGCCAGAAATCCACTCCGCTGCTGAGGGGTATCAAATCAAATCCATTAGCTGCTGCTAGCACCGCTAGGCTAGGTGACGTGCGGTGTGGTGTATCTACGTATCTGACCAGACGGACGACGCCAGGAAAAAGAAACAAGAACACATAGATAGACGAATAGACGAATGATATCTATAGCGTGGCATCACCGGGACTCGAAGGGGATGGGTGGTATTATATGAATGAATAGGTATGCGAGGCGCGGGCAACGAGCGAGAGAAATCCGTGTGGCCAGGGGCGATCGTCCCTGTGCCTAGAGGAGGAGGGAGGAAGGCGCCAGCACCAGCGGCAAGCAGCCCGGCACTTTGTATAGGCGCCGCACCGTGCCTCAGCCTGCAGTGAACCATTATAATTCAGTCCTAGGAGCCGGCTAGCACACAACTCCACGACACCCTTGCTCAGTGTGCAGCAAGAAATGCACTCCGCTGCTCAGGGGTATCAAATCAAATCCATTAGCTGCTGCTAGGCTAGGTGACGTGCGGTGTGGTGTATCTACGTATCTGACCAGACGGACGACGCCAGGAAAAAGAAACGAGAACACATAGATAGACGAATAGACGAATGATATCTATAGCGTGGCATCACCGGGACTCGAAGGGGATGGATGGGGAGAATACTATTATATGAATGAATAGGTATGCGAGGCGCGGGCAACGAGCGAGAGAATCCGTGTGGCCAGGGGCGATCGTCCCTGTGCCTAGAGGAGGAGGAGGAAGGCGCCAGCACCAGCGGCAAGCAGCCCGGCACTTTGTATAGGTGCCGCACCGTGCCTCAGCCTGCAGTGAACCATTCAGTCCTAGGAGCCGGCTAGCACAGAAATCCACGACACCCTTGCTCAGGTAGGTAGGTAGGTATATTCCGGCGCGGTCCCGTTAAGGAACAACCGGGGCCCGTACTACATACATCGCTTCCAATGTATGCTACGGATACTCGTCATCTTCAGCCACTTGATAACCTGAGCAACCAATTGTCCCCAGGGTCGTATGACATCCAAAGTCGAGTACGAGAAAGAAAGCAAGTATCATTCCATCGCCTGGTATAAATACTCGGCAGGTTTGAAGATCTCGCAAGTCGCATATACCGCAAACACTTCAAAAGTGTACTTCACAAGCCTCTGAGTCAAGTCAAAATCACGACAGTGCATTAGTGCGAGCAGGAGCTCGTCGAGTGAGGTCCAGACGCGAGGGAGATCTGGGGTCAGTACATAGACGTCTTGCAGAAAATTCCTGCGCAACGCGACCAGATTGAGTTCGGCCATGCATCCAAGTAACGCGTGGCTCTCGCTCTCCACTGCAATCCGACAGAACCGGCAACGCCTCCAACTGCGAGGTGTGCGCTCCCGATAGCGCTCCTTGTAGCGCAGGACCTCCACACCGAGCCTGTGCGCCGAGAGATAAAGTCGAGTCAGCGCTTTACGTGTGTAGCAAGAAATGCACTCCGCTGCTGAGGGGTATCAAATCAAATCCATTAGCTGCTGCTAGCACTGCTAGGCTAGGTGACGTGTGGTGTGGTGTGGTGTATCTACGTATCTGACCAGACGAGCCAGAAAAAGAAACAAGAACACATAGATAGACGAGACGAATAGACGGATGATATCTATAGCGTGGCATCACCAGGGACTCGAAGGGGATGGATGGGGAGAATATATGAATGAATAGGTATGCGAGGCGCGGGCAAAGAGCGAGAGAAATCCGTGGCCAGGGGCGATCGTCCTGTGCCTAGAGGAGGAGGAGGAAGGCGCCAGCACCGGCGGCAAGCAGGGCGAGCACGCCCCCCGCACGCACGGCGGGCAGCGCGCCGCTCGAGCCCGAGCCCTGCCCCAGGCTCCCCGCGGCCTTGACCTCGCTTTTCAGGAAGTCCGGGCCACACATGTCGGGGCTGATGACCGAGCTGTACAGCGTCGGCTGGCCGATAAGGAGCGGGCTCTGCGCGAGCCCCGGCGCGTAGTTCGTGCTCGCCTCGAAGAGCATGTACGCCTTGAGCACCGCGGCGGTGCAGTCGGTGCAGAGCTGGTCCTTCGCGAGCGTGCCCTGCAGGAGGAGAAAGAGCACGTTGTTCTTCCCGAGGGTGTCGGCGTTGGGGAGGTACGCGGTGGTGTCGCCGCGGCGGCCGAGCGTGGTCGCGACGTTGGGGGCAAGGGCGGAGGAAGCGGTGGAGTTGGCCTGCGGCACGCACCAGGCGCCGCTGTTGTCCTTGGTGCAGAGGGCGGACAGGAAGGGGAGCAGGGTGTAGAATGTGTCGTAGATGACCTTGACCTGTGTGTTGGGCGCGGTCACCAACTCGGCGCTACACGCGGTTTGGAACGAGGCGAGTTTGCCGGTGATGAGGTTCTGGGGGCACGAGGCGGTGAAGGATGAGGCGCAGATGGTGGTGAGGGTGTCGGTGACCTGCTGCTTGCTTGCGTTGGTCAGGTTCCCTCCAGGCGCAAAGCCAGCCGTCGCGGAGCGTATGGACGACGTGCATGTGGCGAGATCCTTATCGGTATTCAGCCCTTCAAGGTAGGTCGAGCAAGCGTCGCTGATGCCGGTGGGGATGTAGGGGTTGGCTGTGGAGGATGCAGCAGCCGCAGAGGCCGACGACGAGGCCTAGAAACCGAATGAGTAACAGGTAACGGGAGAACCAAAAGGGGCTGACTGCTTGGGCTGCAGCGGCTGTGGCGAGGAGGACAGCGAGTGTGGAGAACATGATGGTGGGAGTCGGAGAACGAATGGACGACTTTTTACTGTCGGGGGAAGACGACAAGCGGCGTGTCTGCAACGAGTGCGGAGGAGAAGACAAGGAGTGTAAATAAAAGTAAAGGCACCAGCACAGCCACGTCTCCACTATGTTCCTGATCGCATCTCCTGTCCATCGTGACTTCCTGTTCTTGGCGTGGTCTCCAATTGAGTTATTACCGTTCAAGTTCATAGAAGATGGTCTTTTTTTTTTTTTTGATCTCAGGGCTCGGGCTTCAGCGCTTCAGCTGTTCTCAATGCTGTTCTCAATATTTTGGTCTCGTCTCGGAGTCGTTACTGGATCTCCCAACTTTAAACTTTATTCTGGGCATCCCAGGGTCAATTAGTTTCTATGAGCCAAGAGTTTATCAATTACAAGACCCTACTTGGCAACTCTACGACGAATCGCCTTCTGGTTCTGAGAACAGCCATAACAATTGTTGCCGACCACAATTATTCAGACCCCGGCCGTTCAAAAACTCAACTTAAACTGCTTGTCCGCAGTGGTGGACAGAGCACCTTCGCCCGGGTTCGCTCATGGCGAGGACTACTCGACCTCGGACTCTGAGAATCCGCTATAAAAAAAAATCCGACGATAATGACCTAACATTCAGACACAGGGAGTCGAACCCCGGACTGCCTCCGACTTCCGCACCGATTTTATAAGGACCGAGGCGGTGTAACCGTACACCATGTCTGATTTCTCTACCCAGGACTGGACCTGCCCGTGTACGCGTTTTTTCGGGACAAATTCTCGAACGCTTGTGTCGCGGAACAAACCTCAGCCAGCCTGTACGACAAGTCGAGATGCTCAATGTGCACTATGTCCGATCCCCCGTCCTCGGATCTGCTACCGGTTGGCTACAGGTGTGCGCGTTTTCCTGCAGCCAAGTTGAGAAAAAAGGTGACTTGCTAGGTCCTTATTCGCACACAGGGAGTCGAACCCTGAACTACCTCCGACTTTACGCATCCAACTTAAGGATAGAGGCGGTGTACCCTACACAATGTCCGATTCCTCTACATGCGACTGGACCTATTCATGCATGCACTTTTTTCCGGCAAATTCTCAAATGAGCTGCTCCTGCATGCACTTCCGCAAGACAAATTGTCCAGAGTTTTTGTGTGCACTGATTCCGCGTCTCGAACTACCCCGCTGAACGTCAACCAACAGGATAAGCTGTGTGATGTCCCATTTCTCGTTACCCCGGAACCGCTACAGTGTGTGTTTTCCTACAGCCAAGTAGAGGGAGAAAAAAAACCCTCCTTCGGCAAATATTCGAACACAGGGAGTCGAACCCCGAACTACCTCCGACTTTGCGACCATGCCGGCATGTTCAAGGAAAGAGGCGGTGTACCGTACACCATGTCCGATTTCCTGTCTACCCCGGAACTGTACTGGGTGTAGGATTTTCTGGGGCGGTCGAAAAATACAAGAAGAATTTCAGAAGAAAAAAGGATAACCACAGCCATGCCATTCGGACACAGGGAGTCGAACCCTGGACTGCCTCCGACAGTTACATGGTTCTAGACAAAGGATCAAAGGAGCACACCAAGCCCGATTGATTGTCTATCTGGGTCCCGGTCTGTTGAAGCGTGCGATTTCGTGGGCGGTTGGAAGCACGCAGCTCATTCCGAGTCAGACGGCAAGTTCAACCTCAACTTGAAGTCGAACATTTATTGAACCCGAGCTCCCGCGTGAACCGTTCAGGACTCAATGGAGGCGCGCCAGGCACCAATTCATCTTGTATCCGGGAGCTCGAGGATTTCTTGGGGCGAGTCTGAAAAAGAAATAAAATTCCAGGAAAGTCCCCCAACTCAGACACGTGGAGTCGAACCCTGGACTGCCTCCCACAAATGGATCAAGAATCACGGATACCAATAGAGGCGGTGTAACCGTACACCATGTCTGATTGCCTTACATAGAACTGGACCAGCCTATATATCCACTTTTGCGGGGTAAATTCTCAAACGGTTTTCATGTGCGCTGATTCCGACGTCGCAGAAGTTGGACGAACTTGTGATCGAGCTGTCTTATAATAATATGAACCTTAACCGACAAACTGGGATGTCCAATGTCCGGTCCGATTCTTTGTCTGACTCGGAACTGCACATGTGCGTGTTTTCCTGCTGCTGAGTTGAGAAAAAATTTACAAAGAGTATCGTATTCGGACCCAGGGAATCGAACCCTGGACTGCCTCTGATTGGAGTCTTGCATCTCACGAATAGAGATGGCGTACCCTACACAATGTCCGATTTTCTGTCTACTTCGGCACTGTAGTAGGTGTAGGATTTTCTGAGACGATTAAAGGAGAAGAAAGTTCCAGCGTTCACATTCGATTCTGGGGAGCCAAAACCCGGCCCGCCTCCGACAATTGGTTCTAGACAAAGGATCAAAGGAGTAAACCAAGCCCGAGTGAGTGTCTATCTGGGTCCCGGCCCAAAGCATGCAATTTCGCGGGAGGTTGGAAGCGCAGCTTATTCTGAGTCGGACATGAGAAGTTCAACTTCAACCGTTTCCGAAGTTGAACATTGAACCCGAGCTGCCTCCGGCCTACAGCCGCTTCAAGAATGGATGGCCAATTGCAAAAAGCAAGAAAATAAGAAACTGCTCGGCACATTCAGACACAGGGAGTCGAACCCCGAACTGCCTCCGACAAATGGGTAGAAAATATTGTGTTGATGGAGGTGGTGTGACCGTACACCATGTCTGATTTCCCTACCTATGACTGGACCGGCGCCTGCCTGCACTTTGTGGGCAAATTCTCAAACGGTTTTGTGTGCACTGATTCGGATGGCACCGGAGCCCCGAGTCTCGAGCTGCCCTGTGAATGTTAACCAAAAGGATAAGCTGTGTGATGTCCGATTTCTCGTTTACCTAATAGGAACCGCTACGAGCGTGTTTCCTTGCAGCCAAATCAAGAAAGAAAAAAGCAACCGTGTTTTCCCCTATTCGGACACAGGGAGTCGAACCCCGACCTGCCTCCGATGCAGATTTCTTGGAGAGGAATTGAGGTGGTGTACCCTACACAAGCTCCGATTTCCGATCTACCTCGGAACTGTGGTGGGTGTGGAATTGTCTGAGATGGTTATAGAAGACAAGAAGAAGAAGAAACAATATAATAACCACTGCCACCTATCCATTCGGATACTTACAGGGAGTTGAACCCTGGACTGCTTCCGACAATTAGTTCTGGGCCAAGGATGCAGTACACCGATCTCTTGTCTATCTGGGTCCCGGTCTGTACATGTTGGAGCATGCCATTTCGAGGGACGTTGGAAAGCCTGTGGCTCATTCTGAGTCGGATGTGGCAGTTCAACTTCAACTTCAACTTGAAGTTGAACATTGAACCCGAGTTCCCACAGCTGTTCATGGATGGAAGTGCAGCATGCACCAATTCATCTCGTATCCGGGAGCTCAAGGATTTTTTGAGGCGAGTCTGAAAAAGAAATAAAAATGCAGGAAACCCAGAAACTCAGACACAGGGAGCCGAACCCCGGACTGCCTCTGACAAATGGGTTGAAAAACTACCAGTTATCGATAGAGGCAATGTAACCGTACACCATATCTGATTTCCCTACTTATGACTGGACTTGCTCCTCCCTGCACTTTTGCGGGGCAAATTCTCAAAAGGTTGTCGTGCAGAAACTTGGACAGGAGTGGATTGGGCGGCAGCGGCTGTGGCGAGGAGGACAGCGAATGTGGAGAGCATGATGGTGGGAGTCAGAGAACGAATGGACGACTTTTTACTGTCGGGGGAAGACGACAAGCGGCGTGTCTGCAACGAGTGCGGAGGAGAAGACAAGGGCTGTAAATAAGAACAAAGGCCGCAGCACAGCCACGTCTCCACTATGTTCCTGATCGCATCTCCTACATGTCCATCCCTGCTCTTGGCGTGGTCTCCGATTGAGTCATTGTCGTTCAAGTTAATAAAGATGGTCTTGTTTTTTTTTTTGATCTCCCCATCTCGGGCTCGGGCTTCAACGCTTCAGCTGTTCTCAATGCTGTTCTCAATATTTTGGTCTCGTCTCAGAGTCGTTACTGGATCTCCCAACTTTGAACTTAATCCTGGGCATCCCAGGGTCCATTAGTTTCTATGAGCCAAGAGTTTATCAATTCCAAGGCCCTACGTGCCAACTTGGCACCTCTACGACGAATCGAAATTGCACCGGAATGATAGTCGAGAGCCTTCTGGTTCTGAGGACAGCCATACCTACCAATTGCCGTTGCGACCACAACTCTTCAGACCTCAGCCGTTCAAGAACTCAACTTAAGAACTCAACTTAAACTGCTTGTCCGCACTGGTGGACAGAGCACCTCCGCCTAGGTTCGCTCATGGCGGGGGACTACTCGGCCTCATCTTTGCCGTGCGCGGACTCTGAGAATCCGCTATACAAAAAAAACTCCGACAATGACCAACACATTCAGACACAGGGAGTCGAACCCCGGACTGCCTCCGACTGATTTCTTTCGGTGTCCGCAAGGACCGAGGCGGTGTAACCGTACACCATGTCTGATTTCCCTACCTAGGACTGGACCTGCCTGTGCATGCATTTTTGCGGGGCGAATTCTGGAACACTTGTGTCGCGGAACAAACCTCAGCCAGCACGGCAAGCCGAGATGCTCAATGTCCACTATGTCCGATTCCTCGTCCTCGGATCTGCTACCGGTTGGCTACAGGCGTGCGCGTTTTCCTGCAGCCAAGTCGAGAAAAAAAGCGGCCCTTTTTGCCAATGATTCGCACACAGGGAGTCGAACCCTGAACTACCTCCGACTGTACGCATCCCATTTAAGGATAGAGGCGGTGTACCCTACACAATGTCCAATTTCTCTACATACGACTGGACCTGTTCACGCACGCACTTTTTTCAGCAAATTCTCAAATGAGCTGCTCCTGCACGCACTTTGCAAGACAAATTCTCCAAAGTTTTGTGTGCACTGATTGCGAGTCTCGAGCTACCTCGCTGAACGTCATAAGCTGTGCGATGTCCCATTTCTCGTTACCTCGGAACCGCTACAGTGTGTTTTCCTGCAGCCAAGTGGAGAGAAAAAAAGGACCCGCCACACAAGTATCCGAACACAGGGAGTCGAACCCCGAACTACCTCCGACTTTACGACCCTGCGATTCCAAGGAAAGAGGCGGTGTACCGTACACAATGTCCGATTTCCTGTCTACCTCGGAACCGTAGTGGGTGTAGGATTTTCTGGGGCGGTTGAAAACGACAAAGAAGAAGAAGAAAAAACGATAATCGCCGACCGATCTGTGCCATTCGGACACAGGGAGTCGAACCCTGGACTGCCTCCGACAATTAGTTCTGGGCCAAGGATGCAGTACTGTACACCGATTTCTTGTCTGGGTCCCGGTCTGTACATGATGGAGCATGCCATTTCGAGGGACGTTGGAAAGCCCGTGGCTCATTCTGAGTCGGATGTGGCAGTTCAACTTCAACTTCAACTTGAAGTTGAACATTGAACCCGAGTTTCCACAGCCGTTCATGGATGGAGGTGCAGCATGCACCAATTCATCTCGTATCCGGGAGCTCAAGGATTTTTTGAGGCGAGTCTGAAAAAGAAATAAAAAAATGCAGGAAACCCAGAAACTCAGACACAGGGAGTCGAACCCCGGACTGCCTCTGACAAATGGGTTGAAAAACTACCAGCTATCGATAGAGGCAATGTAACCGTACACCATATCTGATTTCCCTACTTATGACTGGACTTGCTCCTGCAATTTTGCGGGGCAAATTCTCAAAAGGTTGTCGTGCAGAAACTTGGACAGGAGTGGATTGGGCGGCAGCGGCTGTGGCGAGGAGGACAGCGAATGTGGAGAACATGATGGTGGGAGTCGGAGAACGAATGGACGACTTTTTACTGTCGGGGGAAGACGACAAGCGGCGTGTCTGCAACGAGTGCTAAGGAGGAGAAGACAAGGGGTGTAAATAAGAACAAAGGCCTAAGCACAGCCACGTCTCCACTGTTCCTGATTCGCGTCTCCTACATGTCCGTCCTTGCTCTTGGCGTGGTCTCTAATTGAGTCATTGCCGTTCAAGTTCATAGAAGATGGTCTTTTTTTTTTTTTTTTTGATCTCGGGGTTCGGGCTTCAGCTGCCCTTCAGCGCTTCAACTGTTCTCAATGCTGTTCTCAATATCTTGGTCTCGTCTCGAAGTCGTTACTGGATCTCCCAACTTTGAACTTAATCCTGGGCATCCCAGGGTCCATTAGTTTCTATGAGCCAAGAGTTTCTCAATTCCAAGACCTTACGTGCCAACTTGGCACCTCTACGACGAATCGAAATTGCACCGGAATGATAGTCGAGAGCCTTCTGGTTCTGAGGACAGCCGTACCGATTGCCGTTGCCGACCACAATTCTTCAGACCCCATCCGTTCAAGAACTCAACTGAAACTGCTTGTCCGCACTGGTGGGCAGAGCACCTCCGCCCAGGTTCGCTCGTGGCGGGGACTACTCGGCCTCATCTTTGCCGTGCGCGGACTCTGAGAATCCGCTATACAAAAAAAACTCCGACAATGACCAACACATTCAGACACAGGGAGTCGAACCCCGGACTGCCTCCGACTGATTTCTTTCAGTATCCGCAAGGACCGAGGCGGTGTAACCGTACACCATGTCTGATTTCCCTACCTAGGACTGGACCTGCCTGTGCATGCATTTTTGCGGGGCGAATTCTGGAACGCTTGTGTCGCGGAACAAACCTCAGCCAGCACGACAAGCCGAGATGCTCAATGTGCACTATGTCCGATTCCTCGCCCTCGGACCTGCTACCGGTTGGCTACAGGTGTGCGCGTTTTCCTGCAGCCAAGAGTTGAGAAAAAAAAAGAGTTTTGCCAGCTATTCGCACACAGGGAGTCGAACCCTGAACTACCTCTGACTTTATGCATCGAACTTAAGGATAGAGGCGGTGTACCCTACACAATGTCCGATTTCCCTACGTACGACTGGACCTGTCCATCCCTGCACTTTTTCCCGCAAATTCTCAAATGAGCTGCTGCATGCACTGTTGCAAGACAAATTCTCCAGGGTTTTTGTGTGCACCGATTCCGAGTCTCAAGCTGCCTCGCTGAACGTCAACCAACAGGATAAGTTGTGCGATGTCCCATTTCTCGTTACCTCGGAACCGCTACAGTGTGTGTTTTCCTACAGCCAAGTAGAGGGAGAAAAAAAACCCTCCTTCGACAAATATTCGAACACAGGGAGTCGAACCCCGAACTACCTCCGACTTTGCGACCATGCCGGCATGTTCAAGGAAAGAGGCGGTGTACCGTGCACCATGTCCGATTTCCTGTCTACCCCGGAACTGTACTGGGTGTAGGATTTTCTGGGGCGGTCGAAAAATACAAGAAGAATTTCAGAAGAAAAAAGGATAACCACAGCCATGCCATTCGGACACAGGGAGTCGAACCCTGGACTGCCTCCGACAGTTACATGGTTCTAGACAAAGGATCAAAGGAGCATCTATCTGGGTCCCGGTCTGTTGAAGCGTGCGATTTCGTGGGCGGTTGGAAGCACGCAGCTCATTCCGAGTCAGACGGCAAGTTCAACCTCAACTTGAAGTCGAACATTTATTGAACCCGAGCTCCCGCGTGAACCGTTCAGGACTCAATGGAGGTGCGCCAGGCACCAATTCATCTTGTATCCGGGAGCTTGAGGATTTCTTGAGGCGAGTCTGAAAAAGAAATAAAATTCCAGGAAATTCCCCCAACTCAAACACGGGGAGTCGAACCCCGGACTGCCTCCTACAAATGGATCAAGAATCATCACGGATACCAATAGGGGCGGTGTAACCGTACACCATGTCTGATTTCCTTACATAGGACTGGACCTGCCTATGTATACACTTTTGCGGGGTAAATTCTCGAACGGTTTCCGTGTGCGCTGATTCCGACGTCGCAGAAGTTGGACAAACTTGTGATTGAGCTGTCTTATAATAATATGAACTTCAACCGACAGACTGGGGTGTTCAATGTCCGGTCCGATTCTTCTCTGACCCGGAAACTGCACATGTGCCTGTGCGTGTTTTCTTGCAGCTGAGTTGGGAAAAAAACGACCCACAATCTTACCTTATTCGGACCCAGGGAATCGAACCCTGGACTGCCTCCGATTGGGGTGTTCCATCTCATGAATAGAGGTGGCGTACCCTACACAATGTCCGATGTTTTTGTCTACCTCCGCACTGTAGTGGGTGTAGGATTTCTGAGACGATTAAAGAAAAATGAAAAGATCCAGTGTTCACATTCGATTCCGAGGAGTCGAGCCCCGGCCTGCCTCCGATGATTGGCTCTAGACAAAGAATCAAAGGAGTACACCAAGCCCGAGTGAATGTCTATCTGGGTCCCGGCCCAAAGCATGCAATTTCGTGGGAGGTTGGAAGCGCAGCTTATTCTGAGTCGGACGTGAGAAGTTCAACTTCAACCGTTTCCAAAGTTGAACATTCCGAGCTACCCTCCGGCCCACAACCGCTTCAAGAATGGATGGCCATGCAAAAAGCAAGAAAATAAGAAACCGGTCGGGACATTCAGACACAGGGAGTCGAACCCCGAACTGCCTCCGACAAATGGGTCACAAATATTGTATTGATAGAGGTGGTGTAACCGTACACCATGTCTGATTTCCTTACCTATGACTGGACCTGTGTCTGCCTGCACTTTGTGGGGCAGATTCTCAAACGGTTTTGTGTGTACTGATTCGGATGGCACCGGAGCCCCGAGTCTCGAGCTGCCCTGTGAACGTCAACCAAAAGGATAAGCTGTGCGATGTCCGATTTCTCGTTTACCTAGGAACCGCTATTACGAGTGTGTTTTCTTGCAGCCAAATTGAGAAAGAAAAAAGCAACGGTGCTCCCTATTCGGACACAGGGAGTCGAACCCCGAGCTGCCTCCGACGTCGGTTCATTGGAAAGAATCGAGGCAGTGTACCCTACACAAGGTCCGATTTCCTGTCTACCTCGGAACTGTGGTGGGTGTGGAATTGTCTGAGATGGTTATAGAAGACAAGAAGAAGAAGAAACAATATAATAACCACTGCCACCTATCCATTCGGATACTTACAGGGAGTCAAACCCTGGACTGCCTCCGACAATTAGTTCTGGGCCAAGGATGCAGTACACCGATTTCTTGTCTATCTGGGTCCCGGTCTGTACAAGTTGGAGCATGCCATTTCGAGGGACGTTGGAAAGCCCGCGGCTCATTCTGAGTCGGATGTGGCAGTTCTACTTCAACTTCAACTTGAAGTTGAACATTGAACCCGAGTTCCCACAGCCGTTCATGGATGGAGGTGCAGCATGCACCAATTCATCTCGTATCCGGGAGCTCGAGGATTTTTTGAGGCGAGTCTGAAAAAGAAATAAAAATGCAGGAAACCCAGACACAGGGAGTCAAACCCCGGACTGCTTCTGACAAATGGGTTGAAAAACTACCAGTTATCGATAGAGGCGATGTAACCGTACACCATATCTGATTTCCCTACTTATGACTGGACTTGCTCCTGCCTGCAATCTTGCG